TGTTTAGTTAGAACGTTCACACCTCGCTAACAAGATGTGAAAACCACAAACCGCAAGCTAAGCCTCGGTCTGTGCAATCCTGGGTGGCGGCCAGTTCGTTCGCGTATTGCTTCCCACCTCGTTTGACTCCCGAATGAGGACCGCCCAGTGCCCCTTGGAATGTTCACACCATTCAATTAGAACGTTGACAACTTGCAACATAAGTGCGAAACCGCAAGGGAAGTAATTAATGAGGGCTTCCCTGGGTGGCTGCCGTTTGTATAGACGAACGTTGGCCTGGGGTAGCATTCATGTCCTGAATGGAGACGCTTTTCTGGGGGTCCCTGAGATTGGTGGGGACACTCTTTGGGGACAATGGCGGTTTGGCAGGCTTTCTGTGCCTGGGAGCCCAGGAGGCAGAGGGGCTTCCCCGCACTGGGACTCCCAGGTACACAGAATCCTGGGAAGAAGACACCCCTGCCAAGGGAAGTGGGAAATATTTGGGTGGCGGGAACAGGGGACAAAGGGAATGGAGTTTCTGTCACACGCACGGACCCCTGGGAGTGGGAGGACCCTGGGAGGGGACACTGGCGGGAACAAGTGACAAAGGGACTAAGGTTCCAGTTATGATACATGTCCCTGGGAGGGGGAGGACCCTGGGTGGACATTGAATGTTATCTGTGTTACACCCCCTTGTATGGGGAGAGTATTAAGCAAAGTGTAGCCAATAAAGCTGTTGTTGTACCCCTGGAACTATGTCACCCAGTTACTGTGGGCGGGGGGGAATGGGTCTGGTCCTTTGTAAATAGCGAAGAGTAACCAGCCGGGTTACCCAGGGTCCGCTACAATGTGCACACATTGTAACGGTTGAAATATAGACCTAGCATACAAACAAGACAGTTGAAATAAAGAGAGTGTGCATGCAGTGTGACATTGTATACAGACAGTATGCACTCAGTGTTACAGTAAAGACACAGACAGAGTGTGGGGACAGTGTGGCAATGCCAGTGGAGACCCAGAATGTGTACAGATTGTCACAGAGAAGATGAATGTGGACTGTGTGTACATTGTGACAGCTGAGATACTGGGAGAGAGTGCACCCGCTGCAAGGTGGGAAAATGTGTTCTTTGATTATGGTCATACTATATACAGTTGTGCTCAAATGTTTGCATATCTAGGCAGAAATTGTGACATTTTGGCAATGATTTTGAAAATATGACTGATAATGCAAAAAAAAATTATTTTATTGAAGGATAGTGATCATATGAAGCCATTTAATATCACATAGTTGTTAGGCTCATTTTAAAATCATAATGATCACCCAAATGGCCCTGATCAAAAGTTTACATACCCTTGAATGTTTGACCTTGTTACAGACACACAAGGTGGCACACACAAGTTAAAGTGGCAATTAAAGGTTAACTTCCTACAACTGTGGCTTTGTAAATTGCAATTAGTGTCTGTGAATCAATAGTTAATGAGTTTGTAGCTCTCACATGGGTGCACTGAGCAGGCTAGATACTGAGCTATGGAGCAGAAAAGAACTGTCAAAAGACCTGCATTACAAGGTAATGGAACTTTATAAAGATGGAAAAGGATATAAAAAGATATCCAAAGGTCAGCCTTGAAAATGCCAGTCAGTACTGTTCAATCACTTATTAAGAAGTGGAAAATTCAGGGATCTCTTGATGCCAACGTCAGGTAGGCCAAGAAAGATTTCAGCCACAACTGCCAGAAGTATTTTTCGGGATACAAAGAAAAACCCACAGGTAACCTTAAAATACAGGCTGCTTTGGAAAAAGATGGTGTGGTTGTTTCAAGGAGCACAGTACGACAATACTTGAACAAAAATGAGCTGAAAGGTCGAGTAGTCAGAAAGAAGCCTTTACTACGCCAATGCCACAAAAAAGGCCAGTTACAATATGCTCGACAACACCTTGACACGCCTTACTGCTTCTGGCACACTGTAATTTTGAGTGACGAGACCAAAATAGAGCTTTATGGTCACAATCATAATTGCTATGTTTGAAAAGGGGTCTACTGAAATAGTGAAAAAAATACCATTCACACTGTGAAGCATAGTGGTGGCTCACTGGTGTTTTGGGGGGGGGGTTGTGAGCTCTAAAGGCATGGGGAATCTTCTGAAAATTGATGGCATGCAGCATGTTGTCAGAAAATACTAAATGAATGCAGCATGGTGTCAGAAAATACTGCAGACAATTTGCATTCTTCTGCGCAAAGGCTGTACATGGCATGCTCTTGGACTTTTCAGCATGACCCTATGCACAAGGCCAAGTTGACCCTCCAGTGGTTACAGCAGAAAAAGGTGAAGGTTTTGGAGTGGCCATCACAGTCTCCTGACCTAAATTTCATCGAGTCACTCTGGGGAGGTTCATGCAAGACGACCAAAGACTTTGCATGACCTGGAGACATTTTGCCAAAACAAATTTGCAGCTATACCACCTTCAAGAATAATGGACAACTCAATTACAAAAGATTGCACACTGCCATTGATGCTAAAGTGGACAATACACAGTATTTAGAACTAAGGGTATGCAGACTATTGAACAGGAGTCGTTTCATTTTTTTCTATGTTGCCAAGTTTTGTTTTATGATTGTACCAATCTGTTATAATCACAGTTGAATATGAATCCCATAAGAAATAAAGGAAATGTGTTTTGCCTGCTCACTCATATTTTCTTTAAACATGGTACATATATTATCAATTCTCCAAGGATATGCAAACTTATGAGCACATCTGTACACACAGTAAAAGTGGCAACACTGTCAACTAAAAAATAGGAGTTTGCACAGTGTACAGAGTAAGCACAAAGTATGGCAATGGAGTTACAGGCTTAATGCTTATGTAATGGGACAGCGGGATATAGCCAGTGCATACAGTATGACACTACAGACACTTCCTGCTCAATTCTCTGCCATTTAGGAGTTAAATAACTTTGTTTATGCGCCCTAGTCACACCTCCCTGCATATGACTTGCACAGCCTTCCTAAACACTTCCTGTAAAGAGTCATCTAAAGTTTATCCTTCCTTTATTGCAAGTTCTGTTGAATTTAGATTTTCTTATCCCCTGCTATGTTAATAGCTTGCTAAACCCTGCACGAGCCTCCTGTATGTGATTAAAGTTCAATTTACAGAGAAAGAGATACAATTGTTTAAGGTAAATTACATCTGTTTGAAAGTGAAACCAGTTTTTTTTTTTTCATGCAGGCTGTGTCAATCAGAGCCAGGGGAGGTGTGACAAGGGCTGCATAAACTGAAACAAAGTGTTTTAACTCCTAAATGGCAGTGAATTGAGCAGTGAAACTTGAGAAGCATGATCTATACACTAAACCTGCTTCATTAAGCTAAAGTTGTTTAGGTGACTATAATGTTCCTTTAACTGTTCAGTGACTACTCATTAGTGTGATGACTAGAATATGACATACACTATATGGACAAACGTATTCGGAAACCTGACCATTACACAAACAGGAACTTTTATGACAACGAATTCTAAATACATAGACATTAATATGTAGTTATCCCTCATCTCCCCTTTTGCAGCTATAACAGCTTTCACTCTTCTGGGAAGGCTTTCCACAAGATTTTTGACTATTTCTGTGGGAATTTATGTTTGCCCATTTATCCAGTGGAGCATTTGTGAGGTCAGGCACTGCTGTTGGACGAGTCCTGGCTCACAATCTCCATTCCAGTTCATCCAAAAGATGTTCTTGCGCACCAAACTCATCCAACCATTTCTTTATGTTACTTGCTTTGTGCTAGGATAGAAAATGGTCTTCCCCAAAGTTAGAAGCATAGCATTGTCTAAAATGTCTTGGTATGCCGAAGTATTTAGAATTCCCTTCACTGGAAGTAAGGGGTCTAGCAAAACCCCTGAAAAACTGGCACATGCCATTATCCCTCCTCCACCAAACTTTACAGTTGATACAGTACAGTAACGCAGGTAACGATCTCCTGGCATCCACCAAACCAGACTCAGCCGTCAGACTGCCAGAGAAGCGTGATTGATCACTCCACACTCTGCTCCAGAGTTCAGTGTTGGCGTGCTTTATACCACTCAATGCGATGCTTGATATTGTACTTGGTGAAGTAAGGCTTGCATGCAGCTGCTCGGCCTTGGAAATCCATTCCATAAAGCTACTGCCGCACAGTTTTTGTGCTGATATTAATGCCAGTGGAAACATAGAACTCTTCAGCTATGGAATCACAAGAACGTTGGAGAATTTTAAGCAGCATGCGCCTCAGCACTCGGGGCCCCGCTCTGTGATTTTACGTGGTCTTCTACTTCATGGCTAAGTTTCTGCATTTCGGAAATGCTTCTATTTTCCAATAATATCACTTAGAGGTGACTGTGAAATATCTAGCAGGGATGAAATTTCACGAACTGACTTATTGCAGAGGTGGCATCCTATTACAGCACCATTCTTGAATTCACTGGGATCTTCAGAACGACCTTTTATTTTCCCAAATGTTTCTAAATGCAGACTGCATGGCTAGGTGCTTGATTTTATACACCTGTGGCAATGAGTCTGTTTGAAACACCATAATACTTTTGTCCATATAGTGAATATATACAACACTACAACATATATCAGTACACTAACATGCAGTAATGTAATATTGTACAAAGATACACAAATAACCAAGGCAATAATCAATAGATACAGAAATGAAAGAACGCAATTAAGAAAAAGATAAACAGAGATGAAGGTAAGATAAATCCCACTTTTAAGAATGGGCATAGAGTGAGTGGGTCAGAGAGCAGTAGTCACAATATATTACTTTTACAGTTTTTTATTTTTGTTATATAGAAAACCTAATGTTAAGTACACAGATAAATGCATTGCCAATATAGTCAATCTGAGGCATGCACTCTGAACACAGAGACAGATGTGCGAATTCTACACAGCTGCCACACGCTAAAATATTTTGTGTCTCTGGGTGTGTCTGTTAATGCAGAAATACTGGATAAAAGACAAAAATGAGCAGAAAAAGGGGAGTTGAGCAAGGGGACAGAGAAAGAGAGAGTGAGAGACTGACAGAAAGACCGCAAAAGAGGCAGAGGCTTATACAGAGACTAGTAAGTAAATCAGGTATCACTATATACAGACATGGCAAAAGAGAGATGGAAAAAGTTCGAGAGACAGAAAGAGAGAGATTGAGAGAATGATAGACAGACTGCAAGAGAGGAAAAGGTGCATGCAAAGAGACTTGTAAGTGAATCAGGTATCACTGATAAAGACATGGAAACAGAGAGAGATGGATAGAGATGTATACAAAGATAGAGAGAGAGACAAAATGAGACAGAGAGAAATGGAGAGAGAAGACAGAGAGTGAAACAGATAGATAGAAAGAGAGAGATAGGGGAAGAGATGGAAAAAGATAGAAAGAGTGTTTTGCTAGAATGTTCAGCCTTATTTTTGCATTTTACATTTTCTTATATTACTAAACTCAACAACTTCTTTAGACTTCTTTCAAATTCTATCTTTAAAATATCGGGTTTTTAAAAAAAAAAAAAAAACATTTTAAAAAAAATCTTTTCTCCTCCATGATATGCATACAAAGGACTTTCAAACTGTTTTTGATTAATATATCTGTTTCTCTTCTCCCCTCTATGCTACACACTTATAATGTCAGTCTGATACATTTATCATATTCTTTTCTCACTTTACCCCTCCCAGCTATACTTTTTAAGGCCTCTTTGTCAATATTATATTCTACCTTTCTCACTTCTCTACTTCTAGCTTTACATATTAAGTACTTTCAGTCTAATACATTATATAATTTCCCCTCTAGTACTATCCTCCCTAATCCAATGTATGCACATTAAGGCCTGTCAGTCTAACATGTTATATAATATTCTCCTCTGATATTAATCCTTCTCTACATTCCACCCTCCAATCTGTATATATATCAAGGACTTTCAGTCTGATATACCATATTAGGTCCACCTCTGATACATTCTACCCTCTCCCTTCTCCCTTTTATGTAACGGATATTAAGGCTTTTCAATAGGATATATTTTATCACATCCCACCACTAATTTCTCTCTTCAGAATTCTGCATGTTGCTTTCTAGCCTTATACATGTTTTCAGTCTCCTCTTCTTTCTATCTGTCCTCTCTCTGTCTGTACCAATATGTCTGTCTGTCTCTTCTTTCCCAACAGATATGGAAGGGTTAAATAAAGGTTTCCTGTGCTCACTCCTGCTGGCTGTCACTGCTTTGGGTGAGTGTTCTGAACCATGGGGAATTAAACTCCCACAAACGGACTGCTAGCCATGATTACTCCTAAGATAGATCTAATTTCATGGAGCCAGAACATAGACTTTTACTCAGATCTACAGTTTGCAAAAACTGTACTATATTAAATCATGTATCGTGAAGATATTCATCTTAAGCCACCCCCTTTCCTCTTAGTTAAAACTGGACTATATTAAATCGTGTATCTTGAAGATATTCGTCTTAAGTCGCCCCCTTTCCTCTTAGTTAAAACTGGACTATATTAAATTGTGTATCTTGAAGATATTCGTCTTAAGTCGCCCCCTTCCCCCAAGTTTTTTAAATGTCCATTGTCTTATGACTACTGTGATAGATGTTGTAATCACAAAGCACTTGCGCAATTTCCTAATTTTCAGAACATCTTCAGGCATGGTTGCAATTGCCATCTCGAAGTGGTGTGGTAGCAACAGGAGTTATTTTATTACTCAGAAGAAATATGAATTGGGTATCGGAGTTTATATTGTTGTTGCTTTAGGAATTGTATTGATCTACCTCTTCATATTAAATAGTATTAACATGACAGGGTGCAAGTCTTCACAATTCTCCAACTGATTTATTCTGACCTTTTACATAATTTTTCCCTTTCTCTCTGAAGGTTTATTTCTCTAGTATTTGAGGGTGAACACAACGGCCCAAATCCAGGAGAGATTTTTGACCAATCAGTTTTTCAACATATATTTTTTCATGTACTTAGGTAGACATAAAAGCATTTTTAAAGTGCTACACTATATGATGATAAAATATAACTAGTTTTTGACTGATTTTGGTAAACTCCAACTTTTAATGAAAAATTTGTACCATGTATCAGTAAAAAATCTCTCTACAATAAAATGATGTTAGCATGATAACATGTATACTTTGCATTTATAAGTTTCTGTTAGACAGTATTGCTGCATGTGCTGTTAGTATTATAGAGGCAAATATACCCCCAAAAAAGTTAGAACTTGATTAATAGAAAAAACATAATTTTATCTTTTGCAGCCATTCCAGAACCGGGTTTTGTGATCAGTCGGAGAGATGTTGGTAAGTCATAACCAAATGTGACAAAACAACAAGTGATAAACCGCGCCAAACAGAACTAAAAAAATTGCACGGTTATACTCAATCTTAACAATAACCCAATATTGTGTAGCAAATAATGTATATACCTGCTCTCTTTGGAGTAATCCAAAGAGAGTACGTATATACATACTGTCTAACATTATATCGAGTGCCTACACCTGCCTTTTTTTATAACCAAATATCTTAATTAACAAGCTTCCGAAAATCATTCCAAAGGCACTGAATTTGTAACAGTGTGATCAGAGACATGGGATAGTGGTTTGTTTACAATGGGTAGTAAGGGTATTGAGCAGTACACAGTGTGAGGTATGGAGGGGTGGGATATATATATATATATATACCCACAGAGTCCCACTCCCGCCGGCCTGGATGGAGAGGAAGGGGTTAAACACTTACCTTTCCCCAGCGCCAGGCTACCTCGGTGCTGGAGACTCTCCTCCTCCTTTCCCCGTCATTGGCGCAATGCGCATGCGCGGCAGGAGCTGCGCGCGCATTCAGCCAGGCTCATAGGAAAGCATTCTCAATGCTTTCCTATGGACGCTGGCGTCTTCTCAACGTGAAAATCACAGTGAGAAGCGCGGAAGCGCCTCTAGCGGCTGTCAGTGAGACAGCCAATAGAGGCTGGATTAACCCTACGGAATCTGTTGGCGCTATATAAATGGCAATAATAATAATAATAACCCTTAAGTAAACATAGCAGTTTCTCTGAAACTGCTATGTTTATAGAAAAAAGGGCTAAACCTAGCTGGACCTGGCACCCAGACCACTTCATTAAGCTGAAGTGGTCTGGGTGCCTAGAGTGGTCCTTTAAGCAACTTTGTCCTAAACATTTAAATTCACTTTGAATTCTCACTTAAGTGAATATTCCTGATAGTGATTTCTTAGTGTTGACATATGACTGTGTATTTCCCTATGATAGATACCTGTGTCGCTGTGTATGTAATGTGATCAGGTGGATGTGTATATGTCAATGAAAGGTGATAGAATATTATTTATTTTTTGGCTAAATGATATAATTCAACTGACACACATTTCACTTTATATATGTCAATAAAAGGTAGCATTATGGCTTTCTTTGTCAAATAGCTGTCTATATGTTCTTAAAATCTCACTGATTATGATTTTTTAGATGATGGAACAGATGGAGCTCCTGCAGTAGGTAAGTCTTACTTTTTTAATGCTTGGTGGCTTAGTCTCAGATTGTGCAAATCATGAGAACATTCCTTGTGCATATTGGAAACAAAGGCCACCAGCAGAATGGTACAAGCTGATGTGTTAAAACCTTACTTAAACTTTGGCCAGCAATCTAACCATCACAATGTATAGATGAAAATGGAAGATCTGTAATGTGCCATTAAGCTTAGACAGCATCTTTATCATTATTTTGCCTTTTTGCTCTTTGGCTGCACCTCCTCACTAAAGTGGAACATCTGATCTTCATCATTATGGAATGGATACTAACGATCTAGTGAGAAGAAGGGCAGTCTGTTGTCTTCAGAACAACTTCATTCCTTTTTGGAATATTGCCAATCATATCCTGAATTCTTTAGTAGAATAACCATTACTAATTGGTAACAGCCAAAGATGACTTAACTAGTTTATCTTTTTACCCCTGGTCTTGTGTCATTGTTCTTTGGCCTGGTTTTAAGCAATTCTAAAAAAACAATTGTAAGACCCACAATATTGAGTCACAGTGTTTATTGAATTACCATATGATTTTTCTAATTGTTACAATTGTGGCATTTAGCAACTAACTTATAAAGTGTTCAACTGTTTTTGTCAGTAAGTCTTGATTGATGTCCATCTTTATGGGTAGTAACTTTTCCTGTTTGCTAATGTAGTCCGTCTATGTTTGGCATATGCTGTTATTATTGAAGACGGTTCTTTTGAGTGATTAAAAGAACACAGACATGAAAATTGTTATGCATCGTTATATAATCTTTGTTTTAATATACCAGATATTTTAATTCACATATTTATATTTTTTAAGATAGCCCGTGCCTACCTTTTCCACTCCCCCCTTTCTGGCAGTCATGTTTATTTACCTTTGGTCAGATTTTTCTCATTATTTTCATTCAGCCATGATTATTTTGCTTTTTGGAATCGTGTGCATTTTCTGACTGCGACATTTTCTGTAAAAAAAAAATATTCTGGCAAAATAATGAGCTTTTCAGAGTCTGAGTCAGAGACAAATCATTTCTTCAAAAATGTCATAATACACAAATTACATTTTTTTTTTTACAAGATAGTGTATTATAACATAAAGATTTTATTGAAATAATAAACAAAACAGTGACATTGTTCCTTTAAATGAGTGTATAGCTTTTGTGACTAACCCTCCTATAATTCAGGCACTATTTGGTCTGTTTTGAACTATCTTACTTTCCTTTTGAATCTATGAAAATTATCATATCTAATGCTAATTTTGAGATGAGGCTTATTGCTCATTTGCAATCAACCTAATATATCATTTGCAATCATATTTACTTCCTGATTAAACTCTGTATAAGCTGCCATCTCTACATCTGTGACTGAGAAGTCTCAAAATATGTAAAAGCTCTACATTAAGAGTGGCTGAAAGGGCGTTCAGCCTAGGGGCATGTGATTGTGATATGACCAGGGACAAGGCTGTTCTGGGACATATTAAGTGACTTTTGGACCTATTGATAACCAATTATTTATTGAAAACATTATATAGAGCATGAATAATTTATCTTATTTGCACACATTCACTTCTAATCTACTTTGTTGTAGTGTGAAGACTCTAAGTTGTTATGCACTCACATTAGAATAGAACAAACGGATAGGGGGATTTGGGAATGCAATAGGTGGAGACAGATGCCCTACTTCATTCCTAAACTCTCAATGATAATCAATAAGCATGAGGGAGTAGGGAACAGTAACCAATTTTAAAAAGAGAAGAAAACAAAAAAAAAACCTACAAAATAAATAAAGTAATGAATGAATATTTTATACATGTGAAAGTTTTGCTTGAAGATCCTTTCTTCTCTTTCTTCAACCATAAAAATGGGTAAACAAGCCATTATGATGCAGATCAACGGAAAAATAAAAATGACAAAAAATAAAACCAGAATTATATCAGACCATCCCATAGAGGCATAGAGATTTTCGATCAGTAGACTGAGTATTGTATGTCAGCTATACTTGCATTATCAGTGACCCGCCCTGTAAAACTCACTAATGTACTGTGCAAGAGAATAAATGGCCAGAGTTTGGCAGAAATAGTCCTCTAATCCCTGTTTAACATTTTGTGCTCAGATGATCAAATGATCAGATGTCTGGAAAATCCAGCAAATCTTTTTAATGGAGTATCTTCATAACATAATAAAATGAGTATATTCACTATGGCATGTCCCTTTAACCCCTTGTTCGCCTCTATTCAATACATAACAAATAAAATGTCTTGACTGCTAGTTCGCTGAAACACAGCTATTTATATAACTAGGTAATAACTAATATTTGCTAAAGAATATAATAAAAAAATATTTTAAAACGTTTACACTGGGACTGGGCAATGCCAGTACATGGCCACTGTAGGAAATTATACATCAGTTGGCACTTGGGGCATCTCTTTAAAATGGGTTGAAACCAGACAGGCCAGTCAGACACAAGCTTGAGGGGTCTTTAATGAAGGACATACATGGACACTATAGACATCCAGGCCACTTCATATGTCAGGGAATGGTATAGATAAAAAAGTTTTGAGCTGAATCATGTAATTCAACTGACACACAGTTCATTTTGTATATGTCAATGAAAAGTAGCATTATGGCTTTCTGTGTATATGTTTTTAAAATCTCACTGATTTTAGCTTAGTCTCAGATTGTGCAAATCATGAGAACATACCCTGTGCATATTGGCAACAAAGACCACCAGCAGACTGGTACAAGCTGATGTGTTAAAACCTTATTTAAACTTAATGTCTTAAAGCATAGAACCTAGTAGGGCTAACCATACAGATATTTTAGCCATAACATTATATAGTTAGTGTAAGAGATCCTCTATTTAACATATAAAAATAATTGAGAATACAATATAAAATAAGGATTGTCTTGGAAGCAATAGAGTTTTGTCTTTTAGATATTTATTATATAAAAATATAAATATAGACATATAAAATCCATTATAGCAAAGTTTATAAGAGTAAACTAAATGCTTGCAAATATCATTACTAGGTTAACATACCCTTCTGAACATGTCATCATGTCAGCCTCTCTGTCATTTTAAGATGGAGCAGTGTCTGTCTCCAAGTCCCTCCTCTGTGTCTTAAAATTTAAAAGTACATCTATTTATACCTTAGGTGTCGTCATTTTAGGGTTACCGTAGTTCATATATGAAAAAGTAACACTTCTTTTACTTTATTCATTTTAGGACCTCCCTTAATTTGGCAAAAATACAAGGCCATAACTAAAGGGTGTATAAGTCATGGAAATTTTCCTGATTTAGTTCATGATGGCATCTTAAAGTCTAAACATCCTTATCTACTAAGGTTACCACAGTATATTACGTACTGAAAGAGTCGTAGTATAGCCTTGAAGCTTGTTTATTCATTATTGTTATTGTAATTTGTCTGGGACAAAAGAGGGAAAATTGTACTTTATAATTGGAAAGATTAGCTCCCAAACCTCATCCTCTAATATCATGCCCAGCTCATATTGGTGCCAGCCTACAGCTTCCCTGCCCCATGTTACTCCCCCATGATATGCCAATTTCCTATAATATAAAGTATGACCTTCCCTGAACCTCTCTGGATCCTCACTCCTGCATGGTCCTGGTGACACTGTGTTACTTCCAGGTCCTTAGAGGGAGGACTGCTTGGTCTCAGGTTTAAGGCAACTTTGGGATATGGAGGCAGTGGCAAAACATTAATTATTACAATACTGGCAGCCACAAGCTTCTCCCTTTATTGCAAACACAGAGGGAGAGGAAATATGATAGCGAGACACAGGTAGACTGCATGCCCACTTAAAGGCTGTCGGTCCACTTAAAGGCTGTTGGCCCACCTGGCATTTTCCCTGCATTCCCTGGTGCAGGGCTCCTGTCATTTTAACCTTGGAATGTAAAACATTGCCGTTTCAGAGAAACGTCAATGTTTACATTGCATAGTTAAGACAGCCACTGGTGGCGCTTCCTGGCTTCTCACAGAGTTTAACTCAGAGAAAAACCATTGAACATCTGCACGCTTTGCATAAGATTGTCCAGGGTCTTTAAAATCCCAGTAGGTAGATTTAAGGAGTAAGGTGTGTCATAAACTTAAGGACAGGGGCACACTATAGCATTAGGAATACAGTTTTGTATTCCCAATGCTGTAGTATTCATTTAACATGGGGTCATTAAGATTGAAGGAATATGTGGTGCCCTATGCCTCAATAGTATGCACTCTATTTTTCAGACGATACAGGGAGTCAGCCATCTGCTGAGCCTGGAGGTAAGAGTAAAAATGTATTATTTTTGCATAGTGCGTGTCCTTGGATTGTTCGTGTTTGTGCATGAATTGTGTCTTTGCAATGTTTGTGAGTGGGTGCATATAAGTCATGATTTTGGGCTGTGCTTGTGAGTGTGCATACAGTTTCTCTTAGTGTTAATATCTGTATAAGTAATAACTAGACAGGAGTACATGAATTATTGTTTAACGTTTCTCTCATTTTACCCTGATTCTCTTACTCTCTCCCCCAATTTACTCTTTAACTTACTTTTTAACTAATTAACACTGAATCTGTGGTTTACCCAACTTTCACCACCCACCATTTCCAATTCTCTATCTGTCTGGTTCTCATCTCTTTTTCTGACTTTTCCTCGGATTCTCTCTCTGGGGACGCTCTCTTTTTCTTGCTTTTGAAAATGACTGGCTTTCTCTGACTCTGGGTCAATCACCTTGACGCTCTCTCTGACTCGCTCTCTGTGACACTGTCTCTGTCTCATGCTACCTCTCTCTCTTTATGTTACTAACTCTGTCTGGCACTCTTTACCTCACACATTCTGTGATACTCATTATCTTTTGTGCCACTTAATCCAACTCTCTTTATGTTACTATTTCTGTCTGACTCTCTTTTTTTACTCTCTCTTGCTCTCTGTGGCTCACTGTCTGAGACTCTTCTTGATTTTCTGATTAATTCTATCTTACTCTGCATTGATCACTGATACTCTCTCTATGACTCTCTTCATTCTTGTGATTTACTACCTGTGACTCTCTTTATTTAAATAATTCTCAAATTGACACTCTGACCTGTCTCACATTTATATTTGTGTTCTGACACTTTCTATCTGGATTTCTCTATAATTAACTCATTCTGACCCATACTTTTTCTATGTCCTATTTTCTTTCTCCCCTTTCCTATTCCATATTTTATCCATACATCTCTCAAAACGTATCTTTTTTTTTTCACATTATCTCCATTTCTCTCTGTTGTACCTGTCTGCTTTGCACCTGCCCTGTTAGATTGCAGAGAAGTACAATACCCCTGCACACGGGTGTATTCCGTTCAGAAGCCAGTAAAACAGTGTATCAGCTACCTGTGTGTGACCAGGTAACAAAGTGCCACAGTACCCAGTATTCTGCTGAGAAAAGGCTAATTCTTGCCCAAAATTAAAATAATACTGTTTTCCAAGAGCACAGCAATATGTGATTACACTATAGATCCAACATATGCACTATAATTGCCACATATTTTTCAGACCTAGATATTAGAGGTGGGATACTATTAACTTAATAATGTAATACAAAATATATGTTGTGAGTCATAAAATTCTTGAAGGATCCTGAGTTACATTCTCTTTGCAATAGGGTTGCCACATCAGAAGACAATTAAAGGAGGTCAATAAAAATATCCCTCAAGCATACATTGTTAATAGGCGTCCTAAAATGAAATCATAGTCTGGCAAAACTACTGTTCAGGCTTTATAATGGTGTCCACCCATATAACCGAGCTATGTTACTTGTCTCTATGTCAAGGCTTTGCTTCACCTTTGGGATACATTTCCAGCTTAGAAATAGAATGATTGCCAGTTCACCAGGCTTCAAATAATCTAATCTGCGGCATGCAGTTTTGCATTTCATTTGTTTAAACCAGGGGTAGGCAACCTTTGGTATTCCAGACGTTTTGAACTACTTCTCCCATAATGCTCTGACATCCATAATGATGGCAAATCATCAAGGGAGCAAGGGACATCAAGGGATCATCAAGGGACATATAAAGATTGCCTATCCCTGGTCTAGACCAATGAGGTCAATTCACTCTTTGATTTTCTCTGTAGCTACATCGGGCTCATTGCATTAGCTAGGGTAGAAAACATCATAAGCTGTGAATTAAGTTACTATTGGACTTCAGATTAATATAAAAAATAAAAATAAATAAACTCTGCTATTTACTAGTATGTCTCATGTCTGAATTTTGAGCATAACTCATCCCTTCCAGTTTCTTCTGGCGCAAGTTTGTCAAAATACAGAGGCAAACAGGAAACATGTCTCTGTTTATGGCCATAACCACCTCCTCCTAACTAGAAACAAAATTAAATTCATATCGGATCTGTGAGGTCCAAGTAGTAACCTTGAGAATCAAGTGGACCTCCCACAAAATACACAAGAGTTGGAGGGCCAACAATTCCAATATTAACTTTTGAGGGCTATATGATTAACTCTGTTTCCTCCACCCCATGTGTGTGTGGGATAAGGGAGGAAAATACCTGGCAGTGGTCCAGGGAATGGCTCAGTCCCTTTCTTCACCAATCCATGTGACCAACATTTTTATTCTTCTGTTTATCATATATTTCCATCTTATTACCCCCTCTCCTATCTACCATTTTCAACTATGTTTTACCCCATCTCTATCTCTTTCCCCTCCCCCATTTCCTGCTTCTACTGCCCTCCTTTTGCAGTGTGAGACGTGTCTATATGTTGAACAAGGAGATCTGCACTCGAATCATGTGCAAGGAGCATGAAGTGATTCAAGGTGAGTGTTACATAGGGGGGTATAATGGATAATCCATAGTATACTTCTCCCACACTTTTTTTTTTTAACCCTTGCCTACTCTACCTATAGTAACATTTACTACCTCCCTCCTCCACAGATGAAAAGTGTCGACAGCTAGCTGGACTTCCACCTAGACGTTTTGAACAGCCTGAAGCCGCTCCTGAGGAGAAGCCAACCACTTCAGAAGGAATTTAATAAAAAGGAAAAATATCTGCACCTAGCGTACTACCCGCACGCTAAATCTCCACCCAAAAATCACCCAAGGTTTAATGCACCCAAGCCAATGTTGCAGGTCTTTTTCCCAAGTTAATATTCAATTCCCCATCAATGCTCTTCTTTCACAACCTCTTTTTACATTGTCCATCTCACTTGTGATCTGTTAATTCTTATAATTCTTTTGATGGGGTTAAGGATCTCATTACCCAAATGAAGAACCCATCTGGGCAATTCTTTGCCAAAAATAATACATGAGCTATCTCAATTGTGCTAAGTTCAAGGTGATGTTTATTTGTCATTTAATGTGTGTTTGTAACCCTTCACATGAATTAATGATTCTATAGTTACAATATAAAACCATTTTATAATCCCAAAGTCTTGCTGCTTTACTGCGTTCTGTATAAATCCCATAAACATGCTCTGTTGTGTACTGATGGTGGTTTACTGGGCGTCTGTATAAAATTTACAATCAGAAAAAATGCAGAGGGAAGTAAGTGTGTGTGTATATACAACAAAACATTAAAACGATGATAGACTTGCATTTTATAGAGGTGCTTTAATGTCTTAAACCACGTGGTTTTTATAAAATGTATGTATAAAGGACACTATAAGCACCATAATCACTACAGGTCATTGTAGCAGTTATGAAGCTAAAAATATTTTTTTGTACTGCCCACTCACCCCCGTGTCTTGTTGAGCTTGTTTGAGAAGTTTGACAAAAAAATATGCTCTCTGGCAAACAAAGCCACTCCAGCAATGGATGGCGCCCTAAGACTATATTAAGCTGTAGTGGCTATGGTGTTTATGCCTCTTTGAGTATTTTGTGTGAGAGGAAGCTATATAATTAAGAAATACTTTTAAAATGTGATTAGTGATTTCACAGCTTTTGTTTTGTGCCACATAGAAAAGTAACTCTATAAATAGATAAATGATTAAAACTGAAACACTGTGTTTTAAGTTATGTGCAAGTTTTTCAAGAAAACAACAGTACATATCTAAATTAGCTGCTATATAAACTATAAAGACAAACATAATAACCTACTGTCATGCTTTTAAAGAAAAACTCCAAGCACCATAACCATTAAAGCTTGCTGGCGCCCCAACTATTGTACGTAGTCAAACCAATTTTGAATGGGAGAGAAGGGGACACCAGGGTACTTTGAGCATCATAACCACTACATCAGCTGTAGTGGTTTTTCTGCTTAGAGTGATCTTTTAAAGGGTTTATTGATGACAGACCATCTGGGACCAATGATGCAGCTTTCTTAACAAATTATATAGTTTGCAGAAGTCACCAAAATCCTTGGTTATGCCTGGCATCTAGCCGGTGATCAGTAAATGTGCAAAATCCCTTAAATGTATTGCTAAGTGTTTCTCTTGTGTTATCTAGACATAACATGATCCAGTGTAACTATCTTTCCTCCGTCTTCCGCCTCATTTTAATAATGTTGGATAAGCATTTTAAATTATTTAATATTTTTGAATAAACTTAATTTTTTTTTTCAAAATATGAAATTATCAAAAAATAAAACAGACTCAGAGTTACACACACACACACACACACACACACACACACAGTTACACACATACATTTACAGTTAGTCAGTTACATAGGTTGAAAAGAGACTTGTGCCCATCAAGTTCAGCCTTCCTCACATTTGCTTTTTTGCTGTTGATCCAAAAGAAGGCAAAAAAAAAAAAACAACCAGTTTGAAGCACTTTCAATTTTGCAACAAACTAGGAAAAAATTCAATTTTGACCCAGAATGGCAGTCAGATTTATCCTTGGATCAAGAAGCTATTAACCTACATTGAAAAATTAAATCCTTGAATATTCTGTTTTTGCAAGTATGCATCTAGTTGGTGTTTGAACATCTGTATGGTCTCTGATAAAACCACTTCTTCAGGCAGAGAATTCCACATCTTTATTGCTCTTGCGGTAAAAAAAAAAACCTTTCCTTGCCTTAGACTAAATCTTCTTTCTTACAGTCTGAACGCATGACCTCGTGTCCTATGTAAAGTCAGTTTTTGAATAGATTTCCACACAATGGCCCCGGATACATTTGTATAATGTTATCATATTCCTTCTGAGGCGAAGTTTTTCTAAACTAAAGAGGTTTAAATTTGTTAAACATAGCTAAATGTTCCATTCCTTCTATTAATTTTGTAGCCCACCTCTGCACTCTTTCTAGTGCCATAATATATATTTTTAGAACAGGTGCCCAAAAATGCACAGCATATTCAATATGTGGTTTTACCAGCGATTTATAAAGAGGCAAAATTATATTCTAATCCCGAGAATTAATGGATTTTTTCATGCATGACAATACTTTTCTGGCCTTGGTCACTGCTGATTGACATTGCACATTGTTGCATAGTTTGTTGATGAAACAATTCCCAAGTCCTTTTTGTGTGTTGTTATTCCTAATACCCTTCCATTAAGGGTATACGTTGCTTGTGCATTCTTGACGCCATTTTTCTACATTGAATTTCATCTGCCGTTTGAGTGCCCAGTCCCCTAGTCTATCTAAATCCCTCTGCACCAAAGTAAATTTTTTCCCTTATAAGCTGCGGGAGGGAGTGGAGGCATTGCAGTCACTGGAGTCTAGTTGTTGGGGAAGCAGGGACTCCTTCCTGCTTCCCCTCAGTGTATAACTGGGCAGCAGATTCTGCCACACCATCCTTTAGCTCTACCCCCACCTCATAGTTAGCTCTGCAGCTACCCTGTTTGCTGTCGGAAAATCTGCCACTGCTTGAAATTTGACAGAACACGGCCCTGTGTGTGCTAGCTATGTTGGCAACCCAAATGCCATGGCACCTTGTAAGGCACTCGTAAGGCCGGCCCTGTTTATAACCCCCCAGCCTTTAATAGATCATGGTAGCTTTCTGGATTATTTACTTAATTGAGAATTCAAAGTGAATTTCACATTTATGGCCAAAATCGCTGAACTGGAAAAAGTCTTTAAGTCACCTATGCTTCCACTTCTGCTCCTTTGGCCTTACATTTAAAATTCATGTTGAATTCATCTTGAATTGTCATTTTAGTGAATAGCCCTGTTTGTGTTTTTTTTTATGACTGGGGAGGGAGTTGTTTACGAATCTTTCATAAAACCAAATTGCTCCCCTCACTTTCACATCCCCCGGCTCCCCCACAAAACAAACTGTATTGACACAGCATAGGCATCCGTGCACCTGCTGTGTGTTTATATGTGTCTCCCTGCTGCTCACCCACACACAGCTGCAACTGATAGAAAACTTTTCATGCATTGCATTGTCTTACCCACCTTATTTCAAAAAGTCTCTCCAGCCCAGCATAAGGCAATAAACATTCTTTCTCAGTTTACTAACCCAGCTCCAAGCACTGATTCCTACATTTCCCACCCCACTTTCAGTTCCGTAGTCTCTGTTCCAGGTCTAGTCATTGTATTGCACCTGCACTCCATCTGCAAATAATATTGCAACACCAACCCAAGGTCTTGACTACTGAACTGTCCATGTTGTTGCATCTCATCCTTCATCCAGGTCCAGTCTTCTAAATTACCAGTCCATTTGCTTCCACATAGACAGTGAATCCTAAACCTTAAACCTTGAATAAGCTTCAGCCCTGGTCCTGATTCTTAAGCTATCCATCTACACCCTAGTTCACAGCATTCCTTGCTCTAGAATTAGTTTTCCAAAACGTTCCTTCATCTTGCAACCTCAGCACTGTTTGATGTCGTGATTCTTAAGCTTTTTATATAACGACATCCCAACAATGCTCCAGGTCCAGGTCTGAAACTCTCTATCTGACTTCATGATTAACTGTATCCAGCCTTTTGAGATCTTCTAACTGCACCTTTAACTGGTGGTGGCTTGTGAAATTTAAATATTGTGGAATGCTTGTTACTACCCCTACAATTTCACTCTGCCTTCTGACTTTTTTGCCTCCACAACTTAACTCCATGTACTCAGTCCCTAATTAAATGAAAAATAATTTTCTATTCAACACCATAAACTATATATATACAGGAATTTGGGAAACAATAATCAGTATAAATAGGTCCGACTGAACCTCTGCCTGACTCTGTTAACTAATGACAGTTTTAAAAGACAAAACAATAGGTCTGTCCTTTAGGGCATCTGAGATCTAATGACCCAATGAAAAACCAATGAGTGATGTCAGAAATCCTGTTAGATTAGACTTAACATGTTTAAAGGGACACTCCAGTGCATGGAAAACAAACTGTTTTCCTGGCACTGCAAGTCCCCTCTCCCTCCCACCCCCCATCCCAGGTTGCTGAAGGGGTTTAAACCCCTTCAGTGACTTCCTGGTGTCCAGCACCCATGTCCCTTGGCGCTGATCCAGGGTCCGGTTTATGAAAACTGCAATATTTACAGTTGCAGGGTTAAGGGTAGTGGGAGTTGGCACCCAGACCACTCCAATGGGCAGAAATGGTCTGGGTGCCTGGAGTTTTTTCCCAAGACCCTCTAAATATTCACTGCTTCCTTGGAGCATCCTGGGGCATACCACGCCTCTAATAAATCTCAGATATTAACCATTGAAAGGGCACAAAGTAGTGCAATGCATTCGTTTGCAAAACATTTCTCTGCTCTTTTTTTATGACACTGAAAGAGTTAAAACCACTCTGCCCTCCCTCTCTCTGCATCCTTCTGTATGTTTCATTGAGCACCTAAATATGGTTTACAGAGAACGTGGGTAGGAACCTACGTCCAATTTGAGTATTCGGCGCTAGATACAAAATTGCTATGTGGATTAAAAGCAGAGCCACAGCTTCCTTCCCTGAAACCTCACACACCATGCAGACTTTTATTTTCTAAACAGGTGACAGAAACACAACTGTATCAAAATGTTATACTAGCTATTAAACCTACACACATCCCAGTACATATACACATAATATACACTGCGTTCATTTATTTTATTCATGCACAAAATTATAGTTAGATGATATACCATTTACTGTAGTAGCTTGTGTGTATTACTGTATGCAACTGATTAATAGGACTGTTGAGAAATATCATTGGATAGAGCTCTAGGTGATATCAGAGTCACATATTTGGTTCTGGCCAAACTCAACCCAGCTTTTTATAATTCCAAGGTCTGCAAACTGAATAGCATCACATTACGTGCTAGTGACATTCAGAGCTTAGGTTGTATCATTGTATTATTCTTGGTTAAATAATTTGATATTATAATTTTATGTTTGCATTTAAATTGTAACAAATGGTGTTTTCAGACATTTTAGATGTATAAAAGAGACTCTGAAATCGTAGAAATTACATTATTATAGTTTCCTTGGGAACAGGTTTGAGTCATAACGAAAAATGTTATTTAGATAAACAGATACATCAAACGGAAATGCAAACATGTAAATATCACCGATACAGTGCTCAGATACACAACCACCATACAAAACAACAAAATATGTCCAGAACAAAGCACGTACACTTCTAATTTACTGGGTCTCATATACATATATATTTCCCTGGAGGGCTATTGCAATTCTATATATATAGAAATAGAAAAATACACACACCATAAAGTAGCCGCGTACGCTGACGACCTCTTGTTTTTTGTGCAAAGCCCTAGGACAACATTACCCTGCCTGCTCTCGGAATTCGACAAATTTGGTCAAATCTCAGGTTTCAAACTTAACCTCTCAAAATGTGAAGTCTTGAACATCACGATTCCTTCCGAAGAATACGCAAATCTCGACTCACAATTTCCTTTCCGTTGGTGTTATGGTAAAATGAAATACCTGGGAATCTGGGTGGCCATGGCCCCAGACGATATATATCGAATCAACTTCACTCCCCTCATGAAGTCAATCGTCACGGACTTGAATAGATGGTCGTACCCTCACATAACATGGCACGGCAGAGTGGCAGTACTCAAAATGAATATCTTACCGAGAATTCTCTACCTTATGCAGACAATCCCACTGGCCATACCAAGTATCTTCTTTTCCTCTCTGAAAACGGCTATAATCAAATTTGTATGGCGCGGCGATCGCTCCAGAATCCGATATGACATTCTCTGCCAGCCGAGAAATCACGGAGGACTCGCACTCCCGGATATCAAGAAATACCATCAAGCCACGATGATGCAACGGATACTGGACTGGCACCAGGACCCCACAACGAAACAATGGGTAGAACTTGATAAAGGCCTACTCGGACCATCACTCGAGATGGAGATATGGGGAGATGTGAGGGGTCAGGTGTCCAACGAAAATAGAGGGGGCCTGATACGACATACGCTGCTCGGCTGAAGGTCGCTGAGGAACCTGGGCCACATCTCGCCTACCCCCAGCCCCATGATTCCGAT